AGTTCATCACTAGCTGTCAGGGAGAGCTCCTTTAGACTTCGCTTACAAATCATCATTTGAAATTATTAGGTTGGCCAACGTCACCGAAATGAATGCACTGACATTGTCATAAAAAACAACAGCTGTATAAGGAAGCTAGTCTATGTTCATACTTTTCAAATCTATTATACTTTTTCAGATACACCTATTTGATCATACACTGTATATGCTTTTAAAGTGTGTATTAATGTTTCAATTTCAATTCAAATTTCCAAACAGTCACTAAATTGGCATGTTTCAGAGTAGCAGCCGTGTTAGTCTGTATCCGCAAAAAGAACAGGAGTCCTTGTGGCACCTTAGAGACTAACACATTTATTTGAGCATAAGCTTTCGTGGGCTACAGCCCACTTCATCGGATGCATAGAATGGAACATATAGTGAGGAGATATATATACATACAGAGAACATGAAAAGGTGGGAGTTGCCCAACCAACTCTAAGAGGCTAATTAATTAAGATGAGCTATTGTCAGCAGGAGAAAAAAACCTTTTGTAGTGATAATCAAGATGGCCCATTCCAGACAGTTGACAAGAAGGTGTGAGGATACTTAACATGGGGAAATAGATTCAATGTGTGTAATGGCTCAGCCATTCCCAGTCTCTATTTAAGCCTAAATTGATTGTATCTAGTTTGCATATTAATTCAAGTTCAGCAGTTTCTCCTTGGAGTCTGTTTTTGAAGCTTTTCTGTTGCAAAATTGCCACCTTTAAATCTGTTACTGAATGACCAGAGAGGTTGAAGTGTTCTCCTACTGGTTTTTGAATATTATGATTCCTGATGTCAGATTCGTGTCCATTTATTCTTTTGCGTAGAGACTGTCCGGTTTGGCCAATGTACATGGCAGAGGGGCATTGCTGGCACATGATGGCATATATCACATTGGTAGATGTGCAGGTGAATGAGCCCCTGATGGTGTGGCTGATGTGATTAGGTCCTATGATGGTGTCACTTGAATAGATATGTGGACAGAGTTGGCATCGGGCTTTGTTGCAAGGATAGGTTCCTGGGTCAGTGTTTTTGTTCAGTGGTGTGTGGTTGCTGGTGAGTATTTACTTCAGGTTGGGGGGCTGTCTATAAGCGAGAACTGGCCTATCTCCCAAGTTCTGTGAGAGTGAGGGATCATCTTTCAGGATAGGTTGTAGACCTTTGATGATGCGCTGGAGAGGTTTTAGTTGGGGGCTGAAGGTAACGGCTAGTGGCGTTCTGTTACTTTCTTTGTTGGGCCTATCCTGGAGTAGGTGATTTCTGGGTACTCTTCTGGCTCTGTCAATCTGTTTTTTCACTTCATCAGGTGAGTATTGTAGTTCTAAGAATGCTTGATAGAGATCCTGTAGGTGTTTGTCTCTGTCTGAGGAATTGGAGCAAATGCGGTTATGTCTTAGAGCTTGGCTGTAGACAATGGATCGTGTGGTGTGTCCTGGATGGAAGCTGGAGGTATGTAGGTAAGTGTAGCGGTCAGTAGGTTTCCGGTACAGGGTGGTATTTATGTGACCATCGCTGATTAGCACAGTAGTGTCCAGGAAATGGACCGCTTGTGTGGACTGGTCCAGGCTGAGGTTGATGGTGGGATGGAAATTGTTGGAATTCTTCAAGGGCTTCTTTTCCATGGGTCCAGATGATGATGTCCTCAATGTAGCGCAAGTAGAGTAGGGGCGTTGGGGACAAGAGCTGAGGAAGCGTTGTTCTAAGTCAGCCATAAAGATGTTGGCTACTGTGGGGCCAGGCGGGTACCCACAGCAGTGCCGCTGACTTGAAGGTATACATGGTCCCCACATGTGAAACAGTTGTGGGTGAGGACAAAGTCACAAAGTTCAGCCCCCAGGTTTGGCATGTAACTAGTTCACAAAACTGGGGGGGGTGTTGGGGAAATCCGGGGGGGGGTGTAGGGACATCACTGCTCTCCGCACCCCCGGGACACACGGGTCCAGCCCTGGGGGCGCTCGGCGGCTGCTGGGACTCGGACCTTGGCCAGGGCTGCTGGCCGGGGGGGCCCTGCCGGGCGGGGGGGTCCCCCCGAGGGAAGCCCGAGTCGCTGGCTGGGCCCGGCCCCCCCCTGCGGGCTGTGCTGGGGCGGGGCAGCGGCTGGGGCGCGGGGTCCGCCCGGCCTGCGGGGGCAGCAGCGGCCCCTCCGCCGCCTTCTGCGGCTGCGCCCCCAGCGCCCGAGCTCGCTACAATGTAGCAGGGGCAGCTGGGGTGCGCTGCGGACCCGGCGGGCCGGGCTGGGGCCGGGCGGACCCTGCGCTGCGGACCCGGCGGGCCATGAGCAGGTGAGGGCCGAGCCGAGCCGAGCCGAGCCTGGCCCCGCCGGCAGCGGAGCGGGCTGTGTCCCCAGGGCGGTGCCCCCTGCCCGGCAGCGTCCCGCCCGGAGCTGCGGGTCCCGTCCCCCCGGCCGAGCCTGCGGGGTCGCCTCCAGCCCCCTCAGCCCCAGTGCTGCAGCCTCCCAGACGTGGGGTCTCCTGTGGCGGCTGGGGCCGAGCCTGGCCCTGGAGCGGCTCGGGAGCGGTCGCTGCTGTCCCCTGGGGCTGCCGGGGGTTGGGGACCCAAGTCCCACTGGTCACTTTCCTGCGTGGGGACGGGAAGAGGCGCGCGTGGCTCTAGCCTCGGGATCAGCCCCCCTGAGCCCGAGAAACCGGCCAGGGCGGGGGAGGGGTTCTGCCGCCTGCCCCGGGCCCAGGCATCCCAGACTAGGGCAGCAGGGAACGTGAGGGGCTGCGCTGGGCCCCCGATCAGAGGGCCACAGCTGGGGCGTTCTGCCTGGGGTGCCCATCACCGTGGCATTTAGGCACCAGGTTCTGCAATATTTCTAGGCCACTGCAGAAATCTGCATCCTGCCCCTAGCTCTGGGCGGGTGACGCTTGGTGAGTCCCTTTCCCCTCTCTGGTCTCCCATCTATAAAACGCCCTTTCTCATGGCGGGCTGTAGAGCATTCTTGCTGTGGGTGCGATGTTCTTGTGCTGTGAAGCCCTATATAAACACTGAGCATGTTTATCATCCCACTCTGGCCATGGGAGCTCCGGGGGCAGGTGGGAGGGAGGGGCAGTAACTTGGTGGTGGTTTTAGTTGGGTGTGCGGATAGCACCACAGCTCCAGTTTTGTCACAGCAGCACAGCGATCCTTTTAAAAATCCCACACAGGAAACTGTCAAAACCCGGCTACGTTCACTGTGAGTAAAGAGCCCAGCACAGCACTGAAATCCCACCCTGGCTACCAACCAGGCTTTGAGTGACAATTGGCTTTAGGCGCCACTGTTGATGTTTTTCAAGAGCGTCTATTGAAGGGCCTAAAATGCTTTATTTGGGGCCTAAATCTAGCTGGTGTGTGCATTGGAACGGAGCTGCCTAGTCACTAGGGTGGGACTGCAACTTCAAAACACACCTGTTGTAAACCAAGTTCCTTCCCCGTGCTGCTAATGAAGTGTGGATTTTTGAAAGTGGAAGTAGGCAAATAATGTATCCCTGCCCTTAGCAAGGTTCTGCTTCCTCTGTGCTCATCTCTGGCATTGCACAATGAAACTCCGTCTCCCTCGGGTCTGGGTGCTGATTTGTTTGGGTGTCGAGCCAGGGGAATGGTTTAGAAAAATAACTGCTCACTCTCGAGTTTTGAGTAGAGACACGTGTTTCTGTGTGCGTCATGGGTTTGGGAAACGCTCGTGTGTGGCTGTCTCTGTTTACAGCATTACAATTGGAGGCCAGACTGATCCTGACAGTGTCTCTTCATTAAATGGGATCAGAAATGGTTTCTGGAAATTAAGCAGCTATTTCAACGTAACTTCAGGGAAAGCAGTTTTCCTGCATTTAAATTTCCCTTTTGGATGTCAGGCTAATTCAGGAGAACTAGGAAGCGAAGCTGATCACTCTAGAATTGTTGTCGAATGGTCAGACAGTTCACTCGGTAAAGAGCATTATTAGGATCAGAGCGCCAGCAGTGTGCTCGGCTCGATACAGACCAGTAGGGAAACATCCACAGCTACGCTGGACAAACCTCTTGAAAGAAAAAACTCCCTGGCAGGAACACGCATCCTTCTGTTTCTGGACACGAGGACAAACGGAAACCCCAAAGTTGTACTGCTCATAACGATGTCAGTTTAGTTAATCGGTGCAGCTGCTAGTCTGCTTATACTGTTACAGCTTATTCCCCCTCCCATATGGGACTAGCTCTCCCGGTAAGCACGTTCACTAGTAGAACTGAGCCCACATGAGGGGTTTTACCCGTATGACTGTAGCTGTACAAATCACCCCCTACGGTGTGTAATGCAGGGGCTGCGTAGGAGCTGCACTGTGGCTGACTGTTCCGTATTTGTCCACCTCTCTGTGGTGCGTCTGGTACTGAATGAGGCGGGCCGCTCAGAGTCAGCTTGGCCATTCCCTACACGCGGCTTGTCTTCACTAGTCGTAAAGAGCCTGCGCGTAGCTCGGGTAAGCTGATGTGAGGTAAACCCTGAAGACGAGGCAGTTGGAAGTCTTCGCGTGAGGTAGCCGGTAGAGAGAGCTGGTTGGGGGGCACCAAGGGTAGCGATGGAATATGGGGCTGAGCCCCATTGGTGTGTGTGCCTTACAGGGGTGCCCTGTATCCCGTCCAGGGCATGCAGGACCGCGGGGTGGTGGGTGCCTTTCCCGTGGTGTCTGTGCAGCACGTAACACAAGAGCTCTCTGGATTTTTCACATGTCTCGGGGGTGGCAGTGGTGAGGTGAGAGATTGCACGGTCTTCCTGTGCAGCACGCTGAGATGTTAACAACGCTCCCCAGCTGTGTCCAATTGTAATTGCGTTGCTAGGTTAAGACCCTCCCGGAACACCAGAAGCCAGTGCTTGTCCGAGAAGATGCTCAAGGACGCGTCTCTTCAAAAACGTGGCGTTTTGCTGTGTGACTAAGGGCTTGTCTGCAGCGTGGACGCTAGCTCCAGCCGCTGTCGGCAGGGTCAGTCCACCTCCCCGAGAGGCAGGAGCTAGGTCGATGGAAGAATTCTTCTGTCAGCCCAGCACTCTCCGCGCCGGGGCCTTCCTCGGCGTAGCTTTGTCGCGCGGGGGGTGGATTTTTTCCGCATGAGAGGTCGACCCGGCGACATCAGTCTTTGGAGTGTAGACCTGGCCGTCAGAGGAAGCCTGACTGTGGGGAGAGCACTGGACTGGGACTTGGGAGTGGGGTTTAATTCTTGGCCTGTGGGACCCTGGCCCAGTCACTTCATGTCTCTGTGCCTCAGTTCCCCACCTGTAACCATGTCTGCTCCTCAGGGCAGGGGCCCTTGCTAGGTGTATGTCCTGTGTCTAGCGCAATGAGCACTGTCAGCACACGTTTGTAGAGTGCCATTGGTAGTAGTAACTCCAGGTGGCCGGAGCCGGGGCACGTGCTGTAATGATGGGGTGCCACGTGCTGGGCTCTCAGGTGTCTGGCTGACTTAGTTGGAAGCTGTTCTGGCGACACAGGCAGGTGGAGAGACTGGTTTTTCTACCTCCTCCGCTGTGGAGCACAAACCCCGCAGAGTGTGTGAGCGGCGTGGGGTGATACTGCTCGGTAGTGGCTGGGGAAAATGATCCATCGATTCCAGTTTTAAGTGGAAGCTGCCTGGGCCGGGCTGGGCTGTGGGAGGGAAGGATCAGGCATTGCCAGCTCTAGCCTGTTCCCCTGCTCTAGTGTCACAGGCAGAGAGGGGTGAGCTCCTGGGGCAGGGGCCGTGCCCTGGCGCGGGCTCCCCTCACCTCTGCGTGGTCCGGCAGGTTGGCCTGCTATGGAATGTGATGAGAAGCTGGTCCGGTTCCGACAGGCCCACCTCAACCCCTTCAACAAGCAGCTGGGGCAAGGCCAGCATGACCAGGAGGCTGGGGACGACCTTTCTTGTCGAGGTTAGTGTGGGGTTCCCTCGCCCACGCTGGGGGCAGGGGGCGCATGTCTACCTGCTGCTGGGGAGCAGGCAGTGACCAGGGGCTGGCGCTGGCCAAGGGAGCGCTGAGAGCCACAACCAAAGGGGTGGGGGCCCCCTCTGATCCCAGTCCTCCCCCACCGGGTCCCTGCAAGCCAATTTCCTGCCCAGTCCCCGGGCTGCCAGAGACCTAAGTGCCATTGTCTGGGAGGCTTCCCCCACACCCTGGAGGTGGTGGGGGAGGACACTAGATTCTCCCAGCATAAGGGGCTTGCAGACTCCCAGAAAGGCAGCCGGGGCTCTAGGCACTCCTGGTTCGAACCCCGGCTCGTCCACCCGCTGGCTGCGTGGCCAGGGGACTCGTGCCTGGAAGCTGTGAAGCTCTGAGCAGGGGCAGATCTTGCACATGCCGCAGCCGGTCACTCTTTGGGGCAGGGAGGCTGCGAAGTGAGACGAGAAAGCGCTTTCCCAGCATGTCTGGGGGCTGAGCGTGGGGGCTGTGTGGGGGAGGGGGGAGTGGGCATCTCCGAACCCACCCGTGTCCTGCTGTGGGGTGTTCAGCTGGGAAGGTCTGTGCAGGGGCAGCCCTCGAGTGACCCCTCTCCTGTGTCCCCAGGATTTGGGGTGTGCTCCTGGGAGGGGCCGCTAAGTGCTGCTGGTCCTGGGGCCTGGTGCCCAGAGCCGCCCCCACGCCCAGTGCCCCTCACCATTCAGTGCTGTGGGGATTCCAGGGGCACCGGTGCCCATGTTCTGCAGGGGGTGAGCCTGGCGCTTGCCCTGCAGCTGGGCTGAGACCATCTCGTGGGGGTGGTGGGGGGTGTCTCCCTTCTCTCTCCATATGTCTCTGCTTGTTGCAGACTCGCTGCTGGGGCTGTCCCACGGGGACCCCGGGTTCCAGTGCTCGGAGCGCGTGATGGACTTGGGGCTGGCGGAGGACCACTTCTCCCGCCCTGTGGTGAGTGACTGCGGGGGGTGGCTGGGGCACACGAGTCTCCCGGGGGCGGCTAGGTGAAGGTTGGGGCTGGCAGGCGTCTGGAGGAGCTGTGATGAGGCGTTGATTGGCCCAGCAGGGGCAGCCTGGGAAGTCTCTGTGCCCAGGGTGGGGAAGGGCACCGTGCCTGGGCCCAGCGGGGCAGCGCTGCTCACTGGCATTGCTCGTCTCTTGCCTGCAGGGCTTGTTCCTGGCCTCCGACATCCAGCAGCTGCGGCAGGCGATCGAGGAGTGCAAGCAGGTGATCCTGGAGCTCCCTGAGCACTCGGAGAGGCAGAAAGACGCTGTGGTGAGGCTCATCCACCTGCGCCTGAAACTCCAGGAGCTGAAGGTGTGGCACGGGGGCTGGGCACGGGGTGGGGGCTGCGGCCGGCTAGTGGCTCTGCTGGCTGAGGCCTCGGCTGTGTGGGCACAGAGCAGCCCACCCAGGTAGCAAAGGGCAGGATCCCCCGCTCTGTGCCAGGTGCCTGGGCCTTCCTGCTGACTTGCCAACGAGGGCCCAGGCAGCGCTGAGCAGGATTCTGAGGTTCCGCAGCCCGGGCAGGGAGCGGGGGCCCCACCCCGGGGTGTTGGCAGTGGTGCCCGCAGGAGGCGATGGCCTGGCTCTCGGTGCAAAGGAGGCGAATGTCTCCCAGGCTCAGCCCCGCTCTAGCCGTCTGTCTGTGCTGCAGGACCCCAGCGAAGACGAGCCCAACATCCGGGTGCTCCTGGAACATCGCTTCTACAAGGAGAAGAGTAAGAGCGTCAAGCAGACGTGTGACAAGTGCAACGCCATCATCTGGGGCCTGATTCAGACCTGGTACACCTGCACAGGTGAGCACCAGCCCTGCCAAGGCAGCACCTCCCTGCTCCCCAGCCCTGGGGCAGGACGAAAGCTTGTTCTCCTTCCCGGCGGCGCTGATCCCCTGGAGCTCAGCCAAAGCTGCAGGGCAGACGGGAGGCGGCAGAGCCCCCGGGCTGGGCAGGTGCCTCTGCCGGTCACCTGGGTCCTGCCGCAGACAGGAGTGCAGACCCCTGATGGCATAAATGCCCAGTCGCTTCTCCGCTGCCACCCGCTCTGCTCTGAGCCTTTCCCCGCCGTGCGGGATGGCCCTGTCTCCTGCAGGGCTGGGCCAGTTCTGAGTGTCGTGGGAGTGTTGGCAAGGGGCCTGGGTGCTCCCCGGCCGGGTCAGGCTGAAGCAAGGGAAAGGCCGGGCCGGGCGGGTGACTCCTGGGTCTCTGTGCCATGTCCTCCCCAGGGTGTTACTATCGCTGTCACAGCAAGTGCCTGAACCTCATCACCAAGCCCTGCGTGAGGTCCAAGGTCAGCCACCAGGCCGAGTACGAGCTGAGCATCTGCCCCGAGACAGGCCTGGACAGCCAGGATTACCGCTGTGCAGAGTGCCGGGCGCCCATCTCCCTCCGTAAGTGCCACCCGCGCAGGAGGGGACGCTGGGGCTGAGGTGTGACCGGGGATAGCCGTTAACCCTCACAGTTACCAGCCTGCGTGCGCTGGGACCGGAGCCCACGCCCCGGGGACCTTCCCACTCATCTGAAGCAGAGCTCCGTTAGCAGGAGGGGGGCGATCCCTGTGGCCAACACGTCAGTGGGGTCACCCTGGCGTGTGTGAGAGCAGGCTGGAGCACAGAGCACGGAGGGAGTGGGGCTCGGCTGGGATTAGATCTTGGGAGTTCCTGGCTCCCAGGCCTGTGCTCAGCCCACTCTCGGCATCCCTGGGGTGGGGGTTCTGCAGGGGTGTGGCCGGAGGTTGCTCTGGGTATATGGAGTGCAGGGAGCATGGGCTGAGCACAGAGAGTGGGAGGAGATGACAGCAGAGATACGGGCAGAGGCCTTGGCATCAGGACACGTGGAGTCTGGTCCTGGCCCTGCCCTGACTCACCGTGCGCTCATGGGTGAGTCACTTCCCCTCTCCGAGCCTCAGTTTCCCAAGTGCAGAACAGGGCCAGTGACACTCGCCCAGCCTCCCCGAGCACAGGGCTTGGCACACGCTTGAAGTGTTGGGAGGCTCTGCAGCCTCACGGCTAAGGGGAGCAGCAGGCACTGCCCTGGTGGGTGAGAGCAGAGACCCCTGCTGGGTCTGGAATGGGTTGGGATGGGGGACCTAGCAGGGCTGGGGCCCTGGGGCTGTTCCTGGTATGATGGGGCTGACGGCCCCGTGTCCCATGCAGGGGGTGTGCCCAGCGAGGCCAGGCAGTGCGACTACACCGGCCTGTACTACTGCGGAAACTGCCACTGGAACGACCTGGCCATCATCCCGGCCCGCGTCATCCACAACTGGGACTTCGAACCCCGCAAGGTGAGCAGGCCGGGGCGGGGGGGCGGCCCCGTGGGCAGAGCAGGAGGTGACGCTAGGGGACACTGAGGTTCAGCTACCCTGGGCCGAGCCAGGGCACAGGCTGGGGGGTGGGACACGGAGCCTTTCACCCTTGGCCAGCGGCGTCCGTTCCAGCCCCAGCTGGTGGAGACCGAAGCTAGTTCCTGTCTGCACCTGGTGGCCTGTGATGTGAGCCCGGGGCCTGCAGGGCTCATTTAAAGACGGGACCAGCCCTAGGAGCTGGTTCCCTGGTGCCCTGCGAGAGATGGGGTCCGTGTACGGCGCAGGAGTCGGGCTGGCTTTCTCAGATGTGTCAGCACAGCAGGGCCCTGGCCCTTCCCCTTCCCGGAGTGGGCTGCAGACCCCCTCCCAGGCCCTACCAGAACAGCTGGTCAGTATGGAGGGGCCGCACCCAGCAGTTCCCCTAACCCCCTCTGTGCTAATCACGGGGGCCTGCAGGGCCCCTCCCCGAACCATGTGCTGTTATTTACCCCTGGGGTGGCAGCGGGGGCCCCCGGTTAATAACAGGGCGCTCTGTTCTCCGGGTCCAGGTCTCCCGCTGCAGCATGCGTTACCTTGCCCTGATGGTGTCGCGGCCCGTGCTCAAACTGCGGGAAATCAACCCCCTTCTCTTTAACTATGTGGAAGAGCTGGTGGAGATCCGGGTAAGTGCCTGCGTCCGCTTGGGGCTCGTGCCCCTGGTTCTAAGGGCTGGGGTCCCGTCCCCAGACTGGCTTGTGAGCGTGTGGGGGAGTTCCATGGGGCTTCCAGCTCTGGGCTGGGCCGGGAGCAGCTCCCAGGCATGCCCCCTTCGCTCTGTGTTGTACGTGCTCACCCGACTTCTCACCCCTAGACACTGGGGCCAGGGGGCAGATTATCCCACACCTGCTACTGCAGGGCCCTTACGCTTCCCTGGGAGGGGTCCGGTCGCTGTTGGACAGGATGCTGGGCTAGCCGGGCAGGCCCTGTTTCCTGAGCCCCGTCTCCCTGCAGAAGCTGCGCCAGGATATCCTGCTCATGAAGCCCTACTTCATCACCTGCAAAGAGGCCATGGAGACTCGTCTGCTGCTTCAGGTGCGGGGGTGTCTGCACGGGGAGGGGCTGCTGTGCGAGCGAGTGTGCTGGGATGGGGAGGGAGCTGAACCCCTGAGCGCATGAAGCCGTTTGTGCTCCTTCCCAGCAGGGTACAGATCTTCCACCTGTGCCCAGCTGGTGGAACGGGCCATGACTGGGCAGCTCCAGCCCAGAAGGTGACACCTGAGGGGCGTGGCACTGCCCACCTGCTGGGGGTGAGAGATCCGTTAATCCATCCCTGTCGGGATCAGCTCCACCTTGTGGTTTCCTGAGGGTAGAGGAGCTGTGGGGTCAGCGTCACACGGGCCAAGCCCAGAATCCACGGACGCGATTCTCCCAGCCCCGAACCTCTGGTGCCTGTGGCTGCTGCGGAGACCCCTCTCTGTCGTGCTCCCGTGTGGGGATCTGCCACCCCCCGAGGCGGCGCACAGCAGCGGGTTACGTGGACTCTCTCCGGCACAGGAGCCATGTGCAGGGGGAGGACGAGGGAGGCTGTGGAGGAGGGGGCTGGGTCCGATGGCCGTCGCTAGCCCAGGCAATGCTCTGGGTGGCCTGTATCTCAATCGCCCTGTGTCCTCGATGGAACGTCAGCTCCTGTAGCTGCCTGCCCTGAGCCCCGGAAGACTCGTTGGGCTGCTGGGGACGAGCCCCGGGCCGGGGAGGAAGGGCACGTTGAACCCCAGTGCGTGATGATGGATCAGCCACAGGGTAAAGCGGAGAGCTCTTGGCCAGGGCTTAGTTGGTCTCTGCTCCCTGTCTAAGCCCCAGCTGGGGAAGGCCCCTTGGCAGGTGGGGGCAGGCAGGTGGCTGGGGAGCGTCATGGTCTGACAATTCTTCCCCTGCAGCTGCAGGACCGGCAGCACTTCGTGGAGAACGACGAGATGTACTCGCTGCAGGACCTGGTCGACATCCAGGCTGGGCGCCTCAGCTGCTCCTTAACGGAGATCCACACCCTCTTTGCCAAGCACATCAAGCTGGACTGCGAGGTGGGGCTGGGGGGCTGACCCATCCCCTGGGGATCAGCTGTCTGAGGGGCCGGAAACCCCCACTCCAGCCTGGCCTCCCTGGATGTTTGCAAAGTCTCTAATTTCTGCATCTTCATTGCTAGACAAATGCTTGTGTCTAAACCCCTCCCCTAGCAAACGGGAGGTGGGGGGGCCAGGCCCTGCCCTCCCCCAGTAACAACCCTAGGACGACAGAGCTGGTAGGGAGCAGGCGTGCAGTGGGAGGAATTCCTCCTTTTGAGTCAGGGCTGCGTGGGGGGAGGCGCCATTGCCACTGCCCTGGTGTATTTGAGCCCCCGCAGGTAGCGGAGGTGGGGATGGGGCACACAGGACTGGGAGAACAGGGCCTGGAAGCACTCGGGCCCCAGGGCTCTGACACCCCAGTGTGCAATCTGCTGGAGCCAGCGGCTCCATGGGGGGGCCTGGATCCCAGCACTGGTGGGGAGGGGGAAGGGCCCACGCGCTGCACAGGGCTCAGCGATCTTCACTCTTGTCTCCAGCGGTGCCAGGCGAAGGGCTTTGTGTGTGAGCTCTGCAAAGAAGGGGACGTGCTCTTCCCATTCGACAGCCACACGTCGGTGTGCACTGACTGCTCTGCTGTCTTCCACAGGTGGGTGGGGAGGAGCCTGGGGCCGCATGTCAGCCCCCATGGCGTCCTGTGCCAGCCCCAGCTGGGAGCATGGGGCCCAGTCAGGGAGAGCAGGGAGAGCTCTGTGCTGGGGGAGCCCCAAGATATGCCGGACTGCGAAATGAGCCGGACGCGGAGCCAGACCCCACGGTGCCCATAGGTGGCACTGCAAGGAACCGGCACTGGGCTGACCCTGCCCCTGGCCTAACCTGGCACTGGCCCCTGGGGAGGTGAAGCTGCTGGCTGAGATCCTGCTCTCTGCTGGGCAGTGCCTGGGATGCTGCCCGTGCACTTGGCTCAGCGGTGACCGTGGCTGGCCAGTCTGTTCACGTGCAGTTGGGTGAAGCGGGTCCCGAGTGTGGCACCTTGGACCTCTCCAGTGCTGGGGTGGGATGGGGCTGGGCTGGGCTGGGCTGCCTTGAGGAGCTGGCTTGCTCCCTGGCATGCTGCCCTCTCCTGTGGGTCTGCACCTGTCTGCTGGCTCATGTGCTGCTGCAGCCACGCTCTCTGTAAGGGCACTGCGGGTGGCTCCCAGAGCTGGGGGGGCACTGGCTGTGAATTCTAGGGGGCATGCAGCGCCTTGCCAGCAGAAGCGCCCGGCGAGGCTGCAGGGCTGGCCTGAGCCCCACGCTCCTGACGGCAGGGCCAATGGGAGTAACCTTCCTCCTCCTCGCTTCCAGGGACTGCTACTATGACAACTCAACGACGTGCCCCAGGTGTGCCCGGCTCAGCCTGAGGAAGCAGTCGCTCTTCCGAGGCCCCAGTGCGGAGGAGCAGGCCTAGGGTCCCCCAGTGCCCCCCCGACCTTGGCACCAAAGAACATTGGAGAGAACTGGGCGTTCCAGAGGGGCGCGGCTGCAGCGCTGGGGCTGCAAGATCTGAACTAGCTGCCACCGGGGGCGGACCCCGGGCCAGGGAGCGAGATGTCGCACAGGCCCGAAGGAGTGCTTTGCTCTGGGACCAGCCCAGCATGCTGCCTGTTGCTGGGAGGCAGCTCAGCAGGTTCTGAACCCAGCTCTGAGAACTCCTGTGCTGGGGGGGGGTGTAATGGGGTGGCAGGAGTTGCTGGGGGGCTCTCGCTGTCCCAGCCGGCCCCTGCTTTACGCAGGGTGTTTGGGTGGAAGAGAGAGCACCAGGGCCTCCCACCCCCTCCCTCACTACTGCCTCTTGCCTCACCCGTCTTGCTGCTGCTGTTACTGGGATACACTGGTGGGGGGCTAGGAGCTAGCTGGGGTCCGTCTCCCCATGCTGCAATCCCACCTCCCCACGGCAGGGCAGACGTTGGGTTTTCAGCAAGCAGAACCAAGGACTCAAGGCTGCTGGGCCCGGCCAGGGAGGGGCGCAGGTTTTGGGCAGTGACCGTGATGGAGCTCTGGGGGGGTAGCTACGGGATGAGCACTAATCCCTTTAGTCTTCCTTTTTCTACAGCTGAGGGAGCAGGGCTGCAGGCTCTGTGCAGGGCCGAGCCCCTCCATCCCAGGGGAAGTGGGAACTAGCAGGCTTTGTTCTAATCGCTTTTCCTCTTGTCGGTTCCGCCCCAGCCGGTCTGTGGGGCTCTCGCACCACCGGGGGAGGGGCTGTGTACGAAATGCCCTGGATAGCAAGTGAAACACACACTACCTGTTTGTAACCCGATTTCCCAGAGGACGTGTTTCAGCTGCTGGGCCACTTCCACTCCCTTTGGGTAAGGGACTTGCTTCTAGTCCCAGTGCTAAGGGCAGGCTGAAGCCAGCAGAGGCCCTGAGCTATTGCTTAGAGCTGGAGTCCAATCAAAGGGGGTTGGAATGGAAACACCACCTCTGCTGAACGGGGTGTGGGCAGTCAGACCCCTCTGGGAACCGAGATGGGCCAAAGGTAGCACCCCCACCCCCTGAGCCAATGTAGTGTGTGGGGGGCCATTATTGCCAGGTCCCAACTGCCTCTGACCTCTTCCTCCGCTTGGATCATAGTGTTTGCTATTCGCAAACGCTGGGATTGTTACTGGGCTTCTGTTAACCCCCACGCTCAGTTTTCACTTGCTCATTTCATTTCTTTCTCAGTAGTTCTCCTCGGATGAAACTTCTCCTACCCCCTGACCGCATCCCGCCCCCAGGACTGTTACACATTGAAAGCCTCCCACTTCACACTGGCATGAACTCAGCCTCTGGTTCCCCTTTGCAGTGCGGATGTTGCCTACTCTGGGTTTGGTGTAGTTGTCATGGCCTAAGCCCTTAAACTCTAACTCCCTTTTCGGGGGTTTGTAACTTTCACCTGCTAGGCTGAAACGTCCCCGTCCTGGGCTCTGACCAGAGGCGAGCGCTTGGAGAAAGGGTCCGTGACAGCAGCTCTGCCTCTCCGGAGAAATCTGGCCCTTGTCTCTTAGTGAAAATGAACCACCACGTGTCTGGGACGCTCCTCAAAAAGTGAGCTGCTGCCGCAACCTTCTCTTAATGGTTTTATGTTTAATGGCTAGTCCGCCAGGGCGGGTGTGCAACAATGCGTGAACACTAGCGTGAGCACTTTAATTTCTGTACAGATGTGTATGTTGGTTCTGTTTGAGTAGAAATAACAAACCTTGCTACAGAATCATTGTTTACCCTGTAAGTCCCTGACTTTTTCTTGGTTTCTAGAAACACTTGGTTTGCCTGTGTGGGTGAGAGATTCAGATGGCAGGCTCCAGGCAGGCAGGGGGGAGGATCGCTGTGAAGCTGGAGTGAGGCGGTGGTTGTTTTTTTAACTTTAGTTCCTAATCTTGCAATGACAAAGTCTTAAGAAGAAAGCGTTCTCCCGGCCCCCCACCCCCCAGTTCAGAGGGCAGGACTAGCAGCGCAAGTGTGTTTTACACCCCTGCCCAGTCACCAGAGCCTAGGCATGGAAGAGCACTTGCTGAACCTGCTGTTCCACACGCTTGCAGAAGCCTGACAAGCAGCATATGCCACAGGTGTGGCCACACGTGCTAGCCTGTGGCAGGATGGGCAGTCCTGAGGGAAGGGTGCAATTCCCACTTTCCAGGCGGTGTCGTGTCTAACCCGACTGCCATACGTTTATCAGACCCAGCGCTGTTGCACCTGTGGCAAGAGACAGTCTAGGCCCCTAGGCCAGCTGCTCTATGGCCTTTATTAAATGCACCTTGGAAAGAGTGACTGCAGCAGCTGCCGCGTTGCACCTGAGCCCCAGACAGATCACTGTCATTGTCTGTGTGTGTATTGTTACCAGACCCTCGGAGTCTGGAACTTCAGGAGTGCTTCGAGTAGCATAAATCACCAATGGGAAAGACAGAACGGATGGCATGATCCTTGCCTCTATCTGGAAGGGAAAAGACAGGGGAAGTGGCTATGTCTGCATGGCAGCTGGGAGTGTACCTCCTAGGCCGACTAGACAGATACAGCTGGTTCTGCTTGAGCTACCGGGCTAAAAATCGCTGTGTGAATGTTGTGGCATGGGCTAGCCACGTGAGGACAACCCATCTGCCCTCTTTGCAGCTCTGAGCTCCTGGGGCTGGCAACCCTTGGCACCCAGCCCATCAGGGTAAAGCCGCTGGTGGGCCGGGCCGGTTTGTTTATCTGGAGCATCCGCAGGCAAGGAGCTCCCACAGGCCGCGATTCGCCGTTCCTAGCCAACGGGGGGCGCAGGAAGCGGTGTGGGCTGAGGGACGTGCTAGCCTCTGCTTCCCACAGCTCCCATTGGCCAGGAATGGCAAACCACAGCCCGCGGGAGCTGCGGGGCTCCGTGCCTGCGGATGCTCCAGATAGACAAACCAGCCCGCCAGTGACTTTACCCTGGTGGGCTGGGTGCCAAAGGTTGCCGACCCCTGAGCTAGGCCATGCCACACTGGCCACACTACTATCTTTAGCAGGTAGCTCAAGCAGAGCTAGTGTGTGTCTGTCTGTCCAGCATGGGAGGCACGTTTCTAGCTACATTGTGAACATCCCCTCTTACAGTGCAGTCTGATTCCTTGCCATGCCTGCCCTCCTGTCAAAGGGGTCACTTCATAATGAGAACAAAACTGTTTAGCTGACACAGCTGCCCTGTAACCTGCACAGTGAGGACAGAACCAGGACCAAAAGTTTGCAGTTTGCAAAGTGTGAATGACAAAAACAAAACCTCTGGGGAAGTTTCCCTGTGGTTACACCACAACTTGGTGGCTGTAGCAAGGGGGAGGAATGGGGGATAGTAGCACAGGAATCTAACGTACAATGGAATTGATTCAATAAACCACTGTATTTGATCATTTTAATGGAGTGTCGTCATTGCTCGTTTGTTGAAGGAGGGGGCGGTGGGGATCAGGCCAAACGGCTCACTGAGGTTACATGCTGCTGCTGGGTCTGTCATTACTTAACCTGTTGCACTGAAGCCTGGGAAGGAAAGTTCAGTTGCTAATGAACTAAAGACTACAGCATGACTCAGCATTTGCTGGGACACAGATTACCAGAACTTCCCCTTCCGGCCTTGGCCAGACCAGGATGGCGGGGGGAGGGGGGAAATAACTTGGCTTGGTTTGGTGACCTACCAACCAGTTCAAGCACACCCTGGGGACGCACTGCTGGGGTGAGCCCAGGCCCCTGCAGCTACGTTGTTAGTTGTAGCAGAAATGAAAGCTCAGTTCTTGGCACACTGTCCCTTTGCAGGGAAGCCAGGGGGCACTCCAGGAGATAGCTGGGGTCTGTCTCCAGGGCTGCTGCAATCCCCCACCCCACTGCAGTGCAGACATGGGGGGGGGGACTAGCTGGGGTCCCCCACCCCACTGCAGTGCAGACATGGGGGGGGGGACTAGCTGGGGTCCCCCACCCCACTGCAGTGCAGACATGGGGGGGGGACTAGCTGGGGTCCGTCTCCAGGGCTGCAATCCCCCACCCCACTGCAGTGCAGACGGGGGGATCCACACTGGACTCCACCGCCTATTGTCCCTGCGCTGGGAGGCCGCTCTGGGCAGGGCCCGCGGGGGGCACGGGAAACGCGGAGCCGTGGGCAGCCCGGAACCAAAGGCCCCAGCGCTCGTCCCTACCCGGAATGTCTCGCTGAGACCCCGGCGGAGCCTTTCCTGTCCCGGCGTCAGGTGCTTCCGCCCAGGACGAGGGGCAAGGCGCATGTGCACACAGACTTCGCGGGCGTGAACTCTGCGCATGCGCGTCAAGGCGCGGCGGAGCCGTGGGGAATGGCTCATCGGCTCGCGTCGGGGACTCTGGTGCCGCCTCTCGCTGCCCTATGGCGAGGGGGCTGCCGGACGCACACACCGGCTGGACTCAGGGACCTGGCACCGATCCGGCAGGTGAGAAGTGACTGTTTCTTTTCCGGCATTGTCGTAAAATGTACGGCTCCGTATGCCACTACAAGGGGCAAACCGTCGCCCTGATGACGTCATCGGCGCGCGCTGGTTTCGGTCATGACGTCCCTATAGCTGGAGAGACGCGCTATTCAGGGGGCGTGGTCTGGTTGTTAGGACGGGTGGGCGGAGCGCACAGCCGTGAACGGTGTGAAAGCCCCGCCCCTTGCGCCCTGTGCGCCCCTCCCCCCCGCGGTGCTCTGAGGGGCAGGGCCAGGCCGTTTCCTGCTCACCCTCCCATGATGCTCCGAGTTCTCCAGCTGCCCACGGAGCCGCCCAGGGCTGGCACCCCCCATCCCCCACAGCCAGCGCTGGCTCCATGGACACCAGGCCCGTCCTCTGCCGCCCCACCCTGGCTGCCCGGGCACTGAGGCAGAGGCCTAGCTCGGCGCCAGGTCTCCTGGGCCCTGCCCGAGCCGGCACCTAGGGGCTACGTCGGGGTCCAGCTGAGGAGCTCTGCGCGCAGGACTGGGGAGGCCGGGCCGAAGGTTGCTTTGTGCCTCCTGGCGTGCTGGGACTGCATGGCTCCTCCTGTCAATTAGAGCAGCCCCAGAGCTGCTCTAGTTTACGCGTGGGCTGCCTGCGGTCCCAGAAGGTAATTGGAGCACAGCAGCGCTCTGATCAGTCCAAGGGTGCCTGCCCCCCGAGAGCCAGTTCAGTCCTGTGTCAGTGGTGTACATGAGACTACTCTTTACTGTTCTAGTGGCTCAAGGGGATCCGCACTCCGCAGCAGGAGTATCCAGGGAGCATAGCATCCGCTTGGCAATGGCTCTGCTCAAAACCACCCAAAGGTATGTGTCTCCAGCAAGGCTACTAGTAGGGCCTTTTGCTTCTACTAGCTTTCTTGGGGTAGCTGTGGTTGGCAGAGGGATCTAGACGTTAAACAAGACGGGCGCGAATGCAGGCCCCGAGTGAAAGGGGCTTGGGAATGGATTGCAGAACAACCCTGCGCAGGGAGGGTGGGCTGCTGCTGCAGGGCTAAAACAATGGGGAGCAGAGATCTGTTTGAATTCCTTGGGGCAGGGAGCGATTTTTTTTTATTCTGTGTTTGTACCTCGTCTGGCACCATGGGTCCTGGGCCGTGTCTGGGGCTCCCAGGTGCTACCATAATACACCTAATAATGTACATCACTTGGCAGGCCCTGGGCCCATTAATAATAATAATAGCCCCTAGTGATGTTAAAGGGATGCCATCAGCTTAAAAATCACACTTCTGTTTAAGGGTGGGGTTTTAATATGTGTTTCGGGTAACAGCTGAGGTTCGTGTGGCTATAAATCCAGACAAATTGGCAGGGAGACTCGGGCAGGGGCAGGGCCCAAACCTCACTGTAACTCACTTTCTGCAACTGCCTAGATTCAAGCTGCTCCTGGCCCTTTGATAAGTGTTGTGTTGCAGGGCTCTCGCCTGCTGCCCTGATTTATATCCCCACAGAATCACCTCAGGCAGATTCAGTCCACCTCAGGAAGTCCGAGTTAAAACCTGAATGTTGGGGCACCTTTTCTCCAGAACTCCCCTTTGCAGTGGGATAGTAGAAGATAACCAACGTGAGCTGAGCGAGTCCCTCTTCTGGCTTAGTCTGCATTCCAGCCTTTGAGCCAGAGAATGGGGGGATCCCCCCCTAGAGATCAGGATATGTTTGTAGACTTTCAAAGAGTGCTATGCAAGGCATTCCTCTGCGCAGGGACCTTCCCTCTACAGAGGCAGCAACATACTAGCTAGCAGGTGTTTCTTCCTTCCCTTAGATCGATCTGTCCAAGTTAGATCCCAGAAGCAGAGATCTTTCTTGGACAATGCTGTTTGGTAAATAAATGTAAAGCTACATGCTCTAATAATATCTGGTATTGACTATTGTAACCTCCTTCTCTCCAGTCTTGTAGATACTAATCTGCCCCCTGCGGTCCGTTCAAAAGGCTGTCATCAAAATCATTTCCCCTGACCTTTTGGTTTTGGTTTAGCATCTTCCTGGTTTGCCCAGAATCTTTCCCCTATAAACAGAGGGGACTCTTTGACTGCACAGTGTCAGTCCAGTGTCACTGTACCTTTAAATAACCAAAACACAATCACTTTCTCTCTAAGGCTTTGAGAAGTATTTTAAGAAGAATGGAAAAAGTCCCGGCCCAGCAGAGGATGCTCACCAGACTAAAGGTAAACAGTCCCAAATCCTCCAGGGCTGGTCCTTAGGTTTTATAAAGATGCTCAGGAGTGGGAGAGTGTTAGTGAGGGGCTGGATAGCGATTGCTACAGTGTGCATGTGTGTGCCTAAAATACCCTCATGACCATGAGTCAGTACGTTTCCCCACCACCACTACTCTGAGAATTCAACCCTTGTCATGACACCCAACTCTCTCTGCTCTTCTAGTCCTGCCCACCTCAATTCAGATCTGTAAAATCCCCGTTGCGCTGTAGGATTCTGAGTACAATTGGCTTTATCTCGCTTGCCCTGTCTACCTCTTTTTAAATATTTTTTAATTAGACCTTCCAAACAGGGCTGGCTTATTTAATAAATGGGCTGGCTGTTCGGCGTGTGAATGGGATGGGGAAATTGGGCTCTCTTCAAAGCCAATTGTCTGTCTTAATGCACCTTTCTTTTCCCTAGGCCTCCCTGATCCAAAAGATCTCGGTCATGGGGGAAATGGCGGAGGAGGTGGCGGCAAGAGAGGAGGGAAGAAGGAGGATTCTGGGTGGTGGAGGCGCGTGTGGAAGGTCTGTAGCTCTGTTATAGGGGCAGTGATAATTAAGGTTCCAGGAGGATTATGTCCCTTTGTTCGTTCCAAAAATCAGTCTCAGTCCTCACAGGTTCATCTCCCTGTCTCTTGCAGGGCAGACTGAATTGTCTGGAAAGTCGCACGTAAATCTCTTTATTAGTTTAGTAGTTCAAGTGGCTCCCTGTTTGCAGTGTAAATCTGCTGTCTGGCTCTTCCTTCAGATCGCTCCAGCTTAATGTTCACCACAGTCACTCGCTGTAACCTTCAGTTTGGATCCTGTGTCAGAAATGTTTCTGTTTGTGCCCCAGCAGCAGCCATGGGAATACAAAATCGATCGCAAGCCGCGGATATAATATTCCACAGCAAAGCCCATACAGGGCTGCAGCGGCGCGCCAGCTTTCTGAGACTTGCAAGGCTCCAGCAGAGCTCGAGCCTGGCACCCCAGCAGTCTTCGTGTGCCCACCCGCACAAGTTGCCTGGGGCACCAAGCTGCTAGCCATGCAGAGAGAATGTGTTCCCCCGTGTAGTGCAGTGTGTGCTTGCTCCAGCTGGGTCAGCACCAAGGGGATATGAAGGAGCTGTGAGCCAGCCCCCTCCCCCCCCACCACCACGCATGCACGCACACCCAGACAATACCTACAGCATAGGGTGGTCTCCCGGGCAAGAGCAGAGGATCGCCTGGTGTGAGGGGAGGAGGGCACGTGGCTGGGGTGTTCCATTGCCCAGCTAACTCAGTGGGCCTTGCTGGCAGCAAAAGGCAGTTCCAGCCAAGGCACAAGTTAGGGCAGCCTCTGAGGGTTAGGAGGGTACATGGGTCCCCTTGTCTGCCCTGCACTGGGCTCAGCACCAGCTCAGGGAAGAATTGGGCCAGCAGTGCTCAGCACGTAAAGGCTTTCCTGCCCATCAGACTCCCTGCTCCTTGTGTTGGTTTGGTTTTTAAAAACTAGACAATTCCTATACGCAAACTTAATTAACTCAGGGTTAAGGAAGCTGAAATAGCCACATAACCCTTACGTACCATGCCTACCTATAGCATTGCCACTGGAAATACCCAAGCACTGAAGAGACAGGAAATGAGCGATGCCAGGAAATGTGACCTTGGCTAAGGACAATATTCCTGTGAAAACTCTACAAATGCCAGGGAGAACCTTAGTGCTGGCCCACAGCCCAGACTCACAAGTGTGGGACATCTGGATTGCAAGAGTCTGTTAGCTGTCCTGTAGGGCAGGGCGAAGGTGGTGGTTGGAATGTGTAGGGTGAACTTTCCCCTCAGGATAGTGGTGAATTGATAGAATATTTATATGAATGATCTGAACTGGTCATTTCCTGTCGGTAATACGTGGGTATTTTAATGACAGTGCTGTAGTTAGATAAGTGACATAAGTCACTAATTGCATCAGCTTCCTTATTTCCGAGTCATTGGGGTTTCTTGTGAGGATTACAAACCCTTTTGCTTTTTGCCAAAAGTAACTACAAACGCTGCAGAATTTCTCTGTTGGAAGGAGCTCTGCTTGCCAGGATCTAGGGATAGTTTTTCTTTCGGGATTAACATTAGCTCTGTGAGAGGGTGGGGCAAGGGGCTACCTTGGAAGGGAGGCATGAATAAGCCACGTGACACACAGGTGGCTGCGGGCTGAATGCAGCCCAGAGCCAGAGGTGTGGCTAGTGAAGATTGTGTGTTCCTCCTTGGTCCGAGTGGCCAAGGCATGCTGGGGCCTGTACTCGGCAGGCCACACCTCCGTGTTCGAGGTGCAAATGGTTGGCGTTTGGTTGGGCAGTATGGCAGATCAGTGCCCAGGCTCTCAGCGGGCTGCCAGCATGCCCTTTCTCAGGCAGAGTCTGGGGGCCCAGGCCCAGCTGCACAAGTGCAGGTATTGACTCCAGTCTGACGCACTAGGCTCCCCGCTCTACGTGTGAGCACTCCGTGTAGACACAGGCGCCGCGCTCGGAGATCAGGGTGGGGCTGCGGCACAGATGCACTGGCTGTTTCTTCGCAATTGGAGCAGTCCTGCACCCCTTTCAAACCTGCTGTGCCAGCAGCCTGCACTGAATCGTTCAGTAGCACTGCAGGGCTGGCCGTCAGGGCAGGGGGCAGCAAGGAACTGGCGGTTGCTCCCAGGCTAATTCTGAATGTTGGATGTTTATTTCCCAGTTGGAATCAGGCTGCTGACTTGTAGCATTCTTTTCCTTTTCTCCCACCCCAGGGAGAGTTCCCCTGGGATGACAAGAACTTCTGCTTCCTGGTTGTCATGGGGGCAGGCGCTGCCGTGGGATTCCTCTATTTTTTTTGGCAAGATCCTGGCAGAGAAATCAACTGGAAGCATTTTGTCCATTACTACTTGGCTAGAGGATTGGTGAGGAAATGTCGTCTGTGTGTGAGAGAATGGCTCTCTCCTGGCTCATTGTGCACGTTTTCCCCATTTGTCCACTTGTGACTAGCATGGCGCTTGGGTTACCAAGTTGCCTCTGAATCCTGCTGACTCCGGGCTGGGGGAGACCACCCCCAGAGGGCCTCTGGAAAGCAGGGACTATTCGGGCACCATTCGGAGGCTGGAGTCAGGGGGCAGCTTCTGTTTTGATCAGGGAGAGCCCTGTTATCAGAGCATGGGCACCCCCATTCCTCACTCCCTGCCAATTGTTCCCAGAGGACTGGGTGTTACACGTCAACTGATCCTGTGCGAGGGCTCCCACACGAGCCCTGGGCTGCCCTTTACCTCTAGCTTCACAGCAGAAGCATGTGACTTGCAAGGCCTTGTGTGCCTTGTGCCAACTGCCTCGAAATCCTGGGCAAGGTCCCTGGGTTCTGCAGCCTCTGGTGGAAGTTCTGCAGAAGCTTCATATCCCCGGAGGGGAGGGAGGTATTGAGTTAATAATGAAGTCCCTGCCAGAGCCTCTGTTGTTTTATTCTGACTTTGTTTATTTTATGCTGTCTCCAAAATTTCAGTTTTCAGTGTGGCACAAGTTGCCATCCTTAGGTTTCAGAGTTAACACCCCATTAATAACGGGGTGGTTTGTACTTCCGAGTCGTTGTTTTAGGCTTTCTGCAGACTCAGGCAGGCATCTCTATGTCCATTTATGCTTGGTTCATGTTGTCCAGCGTTTCACCACAACTGTGAGGTCTAGAAGAGTGTCAGTGTCTCTGTGTGTCTGTCTAAGGAAGCAGAGATTCTGGAGCTCACTTCTCCCATCCGTTCTTACCAGGGGAGCCCCAGAGCACTTGTGGCCGCCAGTGCTCCGGGCTGGCCACAGAATACATCGGGATAGTGGGGGCGTCTGGGTTGCTGTAGGAGCCTACCTTAAAGTTAGCGTATTATGTGAACCAGCATCCCCCTGACTGTTCCCTGGAGACTGGCTCTGTGCCCTGCTGTCTCGGGCCCCAGTAATTATGGGAAGCCCTAGGTGGGGCTGTCTGCGGGTATCTCTCAGCAAGGCAGCCCCTGGAGACTTCCCCAGACCTGTGTCCTGGTGCTGCTCTGCTGTTTGGCTGGGACCCCCTAGCCACGCCTGTGTAACTGCCCTTGCTGCCCGCTCCACGGGCTGCTGATGCCGTTCCGCGTGCCGTTTGGCTGGTCCCTGCTGAGGTGCTATTGGGATTGCTGCTGGATGGACACAGCTCAGTGTATGTCATGGCTGGTGGGATGAGGACGGCCTGAGCCTATTACAGGGACTCCGCCATCCGTGTAGCGTAGACCCCACTCCTTTCTAGTGTGGTTGGTTTAAAAGGACTGTAGCCTCTGGCTCCCAGCTACCCCATGGTGTCTGGTAAATACTCCCAGTAGAGCAGCTAGGGCTGGGCTGCGTGATCCGGGGCTGGGCTGCGTGATCGGGGGCTGGCTCGCCGGGCCGGGGCTGGGGCTGGGCTGTGTGATCGGGGGCTGGCTCGCTGGGGCTGGGCTGTGTGATCGGGGGCTGGCCGGGCCGGGGCGGGGGCTGGGCTGTGTGATCAGGGGCTGGCCGGGCCGGGGCGGGGGCTGGGCTGTGTGATTGGGGGCGGGCTGGCCGGGCCGGGGCTGGG